CTTTAATCGGGAGCATATTTTTGGGGATTAGAGCAAATGAATTGTTGTTCTCTCTGGAGTTGGAGCTACTTCCCTCTGCACACTCAAAACTTGCTCACAAGGCTTTTTCCCTGTGCTCTTGGATTTGAAGCGAGATGGTCCTGCCAAAAGTTCCCCAGCCAATAGGAAGTGAGATATGATGCTGACCAGTGAGCAGTCTTCCTTTGGGTGCACTCGTTTTATCAACAGCTGGTATTACGGCGGTGTGAGACGCACAGCGTTTTCCCGTTGGAGTCTTCAAACAATGGGCGCTCCCAGAAGAAGACTGTGACAAGCTCATTGGTCAGCATCATATCTGCTTCTTATTGGCTCAGGGACTTTTGACAAGATCATGAAAATTCAATGAGAGCAGTTTTCAGGAGCACAGAGAAAAAGTGTGAGTGCAGAGGGAAGGAGCTCAAACTCCAGATTTGGACATTTTTCAAATCATCACTTAAAGTTTTCTGCTTCTCCCTCCTACTGGTTAAAAGTGGAATTACAACTGTCGTAAACAACCCTGCTGCAAGCTAATGCTAACACAAGCCAACTAATACTAAATAAGCCATGAAGAAAAAGATCTACACTTTTGGACCAAAAGAAAAAAAGATAACTTACACCTCCAGTAGCAACAAAGCCAGGTCACCATCAGTCCAGGATTTCTTTGCCTCCTTTAGCTTCCTCAAACTAGCACAGGTCTCGTCGATGTTCACTCTGGTTTCAGCTTGTTGCTTCACCTCCAAACACATTATTCTCTTACTTTTACTTCCAGGCTGCACCATGATGCCAACAGAAAAAGCAAAATTCTGCTTTTCCTTGCACTTTTTATGAAAGGTTGGCGAACTGAAAAAGCCAACTGCTAGCCTTAATGTTAGCTGCTGGCACAGTAAACAACTGCTGCCATAAAGCAGAGAGCTCCACCAGTGTGGCTAACCGAACCACAAATCTGTTTAGTGCCGTTTCTGGTCAGCAGAGGCTGCCGAGTGCTGTCCACTATGACAGGAACAGAGTTGCTTTAGAGAGCTCTTTCACTGAGAAACAGTGGCGTGTCCAGATCTTTTAAAATGGGGTGGCCCAGGTGAGGCACAACTTTGTGCATGGGTGGCACCAATGGTTATGCTTTTTTGTTTTTAACCCCCAAGACAATGAAAAGCCTATTTAAAGATAAATTAGTGTGTTGGCACCTGGGGTGGCCAATCAGATTCCAAGGGTGGCATGTGCTACCCCAGGCCACTCCCTGGGCACGCCCCTGCTGAGAAACCATCTTTTACTTAGTATTTTTAAATAGATTGCTCACACAACCACGTGAGTTTAGATTATTCAGAAGTATAATTTGGCTTTGATCCCATTTCTCTTGCATTTCAGGAATCTGGTGGCTCCAACAATTCCTCGGACAAATAGAGGAGTACAAGGGATGAATCCCTCTGCTCCCCTGAATGCCAACATCAACTTCCCTCTGGGTCGACCCACAGCAGACAACATCCTGTCTCTGTGTGAAAACCAGAAGCTTCGACCTCTTTACACCACCAAGTGTCTGCCGCGCTCGGGCTACAAACTTCTGGCTCGTCAGGTCAAGACTGTCAACCGTTTGGAAAAAGGATTCAAACGTTGCTGCAAACAGAAGACAGAGAGGCTCAGCTGTGCCGAGCAGAAGGTGAAACACGAATAAGCTCAACTTTCTGCTTGTCTGGATGGTTTTTCATGTCTTTTGCTTTTATTTTTGAAGTGGCGTGAAGAGTTAAACAAGTTCTGCTCGTCTAAGAGCGGAGATCCGGTGGACTTCCAGTGTTGTTCCGGGAAAAAGGCCGGTGATCGGTACAGCTGTTTCCAGTCAGCTTCTCCAGACTCACACTACACTCTGATTTCTGCCCCGGAGGAAAACGTACTCACCAAACTGTGTGGTACTCGGCATCTCATGAAGGCGAGGTGAGGTTTGTTCTGATCTCCAAGTCTCTGCACCGACTTCAGTCAATTCACAGGTAATAAAATATACCATCGTTTCAAGTCTCCCTGTTAGGTTTAAGAACAAAATATTGAAGCAATGCTGCCCCCTGGCTGAAGAAGACAAGAACAACTGCTTGGTGCAAAAGGTGAGAAGGATGTAACCATTAAAACCAATAATCAGAAATTTAGTTTTAATCCCTTTTCTGACCACGTTTTAATCCAGATTAACGAAACATCCCAGAACTTGTGCTCATCAGCCAACGCTCCAGAGTTCCGCCTCTGCTGCTCGATGCCGTCGCAGGAGGAGATTTCAGGTTGTCTCTCCAAAATGATCGTGGACATCATGTCCAGAGCGACCCATTCCAAGGGTCAGAAGAAGAAGAAAATTTGCCCCATCCCTTAAACCAGGCACAGGGTCATTTCAGCCTTTGCCAGTGGAAATGAATGATAAAAAGGGTTTTTACCTTTGAAATGCAGTGTTTTATTGTAATCTTGTCTGTTGTTGCACCACTGTCTTCTTTATACTACTGCTTTTTACGTATTATTAATGCAATTAGTTCAAACTTTGCCAAATCTTTTTTATTATTATTGATTTGTATCTGAAATTATTTTAATAAAAACTTTAAAAATGCCTTTTTTTTTGTGTTTGTTTTTCCCCCTGGCTCCTTGCCTGACAGGCTTCTCATGCTGTAATAAGATAATATTTAATTGCAAGTGAGTAAGCTGCTGCTTATGGTCAAATAAAACATCTGTCCATCCTTCAGGGGGAATAAAAATGGCTAGAAGAAGAGTTACAAACAAAAAACTGCGTTCAAAACGCCCACCGCTGCATCCCTGGATTGAGGCTGCTTACCTGTGAACACTGAACTGAACTGAGTTTTGTTACGTCTGATATGCAGTCACGGTACAAGAAATGTTTTGCTGTTGCTCGTGTGTTACCAGTGGATTTACGTTCCTACCCTCACCTATGGTCACGAGTGTTGGGTAGTGACCGAAAGAATGAGATCACAGATACAAGCGGCCAAAATGATTTTCTCTGCAGGGTGGCTGGGCTCGGTCATCCGGGAGGGGCTCAGAGTAGACCTGCTGCTCCTCCACATTGAGCCAGTTGAGGTGCCTCGAGCATCTGGTTAGAATGCCTCCTTGATACCTCCCTGGGGAGGGTTTCCGGGCACGTCCAACCGGGAGGAGACCTAAAGCAAGACCCAGGACAAGCTGGAGAGACTATGTCTCTCAGTTGGCCAGGGAACGTCTTGGGATTCTCCCAGAGGAGCTGGTCCAAGTCGTCTGGAAGTCTGGAGCTCCCTGCTTAGACTGCTGCCTCCCCGACCCAACCCCATAAGCGGCAGAAAATGATGGATGGATGTTGCTCATAATATAAAATCTTCACTACTATTCTGAACTCACTTTAGCTTTTATGTGCCTTGATGTATAATTTTAACATACTAATTTATTTTTTCAACACAAAGAAGCGGTTACTGCAACAAATAACATTCCATCAACCTTTTTAACCACTTGTTCCTTCTCAGGGTTGCAGGAAGTTCGGGCCTGCAGCCATCACTGGGCGGTTTCATCACAGAGCCACATAGACATTCAACCTTTCACACACACCTAGAATTAATTAGGAGATGATGATTAACCCAACATATGTGTTTATGATCTAAGGGAGGAAACTAGAGCATCCAGAGGGCATGCAACCCAGGACCTTTGTGCTGCAATGCAAGAGTGTAGCCTGTGCCGTAAATTAAATACAAAATGTGTTTCATTTTTAAATAATGTAATACTAGAGTAACTGGTAAAATAAAAGAAGAAAACTTTGAAAACGTATCTTCTCCATCAATGCAAACTCTGCTTTCCTTCTTTCCTTGTGCTTTCCAGTGTTGTGTTGGCGCCCCCTTCTGGATCAAAACAGTTATATCCTTTAAAAAAATGAAACGAATGGATAGGATTTCAAAAGTGCATTCATAATTTATAAGGACGGCGCGATATATTTTTACGTAATATTATTTAAAAATATCTCATTAACTTAATCCACTGAAAAAATAAATAATCAAAGCAGCCAAGTTCCTTTCTTTTCAGTGAGTGAAATTGGCCTATTTCCAAATAAATAAAACATATGAATTTATTTTTTTGAGTGATGCATGTAGATTTATAGCTTATTTAATTACGAATAAAACTCTGAAATCTATTTTTGTCCTTAAATAAACACCTTCAACAAAAGAAGCAGAGGCCGTTCTCCGTCCGTCCGCTGGGGGCGCTGCTGCGCAGCTGGAACGTCACAATTCAACCGTCGGCACAAATGGCGACTGCTGGAACCGCAGACTCGGGATCAACAGTCCCGACAGGTACCGTGCCAACACACCTTCCTCATTCTTTCTTTCAAAAAGAAAACGCGAAAAGGCAAGCAGGACCTAATCTAACAATAAAACCGGATTTATGTTTCGTCTGTTGTGTTCAAGTCCTGGTTAGCCGGTAGCCGCTTAGCTTCGAGGATTTCAGCCTAACAAACGAACCGAGCGATAGCTTGTTTTACTGCCTGGATTATGAACCTTAGCCGTGGTTTTGTTGGAAATTGAGATCATGTGGTTACAAAAGCACCCCAGCTCATATAGTCATCTTTCTGTTTTGAGCACATGCTTAAAAATAATATCTGAAGTCAACGTTAGCTAGATTTTATTATAACGCCGGTATGTTACTGTTATGTCGAAGGTGCGGTGAGCTGCTGCGCACTGGAGAGGAAATAAAGAATTATAGCTCGGTGAATTTTTCAACTGAACAAGAATTCGATGCCAGTTTCTCTGTAACCCCCGCGCCTTCCTCGTCTGTTTCACTCCTCTTCCTCACTTAATTTTATGGTAATTACTGCATTTGTCATCTCCCGCCTCTGAAAGACATCATTGTAGTTGATGATGTGGTGCATCATCTAAAAGAGGTCGATGTCATTCATTTTTGACATTCCTTTACCCTAAATAATAATACTAATAAAAACTTTATTTAGAAAGTGCTTTCAAACAAAGTGTTGAACAGTAGTTTTTGTTCAGCCACAGTAGGCAGGGCAGGTTGTGCTCATTTTCATACAGGTTGATGCCTTCAGGTTTTTTTTGTTTGTTTACAACAGAATTTTCCCAATAAAAATAGCCAATCAGACTCGGACTGTCTCACATAAAGCTAGAAAGGCAAATTTGGAAAATAAATTAGCTAGAAAGGCAAATTTGGAAAACAAATTAGCTTAAAACATTTTTCCGTGCCTCTTAACAACGTTCTAACATAGCTATAAATATGTTGTGGAGATGAACAGAAATAATTAATAAAATGGTGCTCTTGCATTTGTCTAAAAACCCCCACCAAGAACACGTTTCAGACCAAAAGCAACCATTGGACCATCTGGTTGTCGGTCTCTCCAACCCGCTGGGTCCTCCACTCATCACACACTCACGTGTTCAGCACCAGAACACCACCGGTGTGAGAGGTTCTCCACTCAATAACCCCAGAGGTGGAGAAACAGGTGGCTGCTACCACTTCAGCTTTAGGACAAACTACCAGAGTCCCAAAAAGAAAAACACCATCTGAAGTCACCGACAACAAAAAATGTTTTTAACCTAGAAAATGGATACTGGTGTTTAGCTTTATCGTGTTTCATCCGGCATCACAGGTTTCCAGTTCCAGCAGAAGTATCTCGAACCTTATTTATACTGCTCCGTCTGCGTCAGGATGGAGACACGCAACGCCATTATTCGCAAAAACGGAAGGAGTTGACCCCACTTTTCTAAATATCTGTCCAACGAGACAGAGAATGCAAGTTTGTAATTGGTCAGGATGCCGCTTTTGTCAACAGCACCGCCATTATGCACTCAAATAAAGAGAGCTGAAGACATCTAGTGGCAGACAGAGCACTTTGAAGAATACCTCGCGGAAACTCTAGAAATAGGAATTTTTTATTCATCTGTGACTGGAGGAGTAAGAATATGCAGTAATCATTTAACTTGTGGACGGAAATCACGGGAAACGTGGGTTTAGAGGTGGCGAGCGCATGAAGAGGTGGACTAGAAAGGGGGACAAATTTGTCCGTGTTAAAAAGTCTCTTAAATAGAAAAAACACAATATAAACAAGAATTGTTAATCTCAACCCAAATCAGGTTGTCCTGGCGGGGAATTGCTTTGCAACACTCCCTAGGAGAGGAAAAAGTCGGAAAGCAAAACGTCTCCGAGCGTGCGCGTCTCTCCCTCGTGGAGCTGATGGAGAGTTATAAATCCGGTTTTAGGGAAGAAACCCAGGAGGGGTGAGTGTTCTGTGACCGTGTTTGCGTTAAAAACCTAGCTTGTTCTAGATTCGCTATAACAGCTTTAAGACGCTCAAGTGTCAAAACATTGTTAATGTTCCCATCTTTACTGGCTCTCTTGGTCAGACACAATAAATTCTCCTCACTGGCAGAAAATGAGCTAAAATATGTTCTTGCCCCACATTATCTCATAGCTGCAGGCTACTTGTGATCAAGGCTGGCAGAGACTAGAGTGTACGGCAGGAACAGACGATTTGTTCTTGCCAGGACTGCTGCTGATTAGGGATGGGAGATAAACTCCTTTTTTAGATGAACCAAGATGCGAACATGAACGATTATCAATCGATTTAAAAGAAGTAAAAAATCTATTTTATTAATGACGAGGCACTAAAAGCGGAACTCAGCTAAAAGGAAGTCTGATGCTTCCATGGAAAGGTTACGATATGCACAGGACAACATGGCTGACTGAGGAATGTCGGCCAGCACCGCCAACATTAAAAGCAAGCGTAGGGAATTACATGATGTACTGATGGCGGCAGACTCTGGCCAATATACTGTACTGGTTTTATTGGATTTGTCTTCAGCTTTTGACACGGTTGACCATAAAATTCTGTTACATCGACTTCACAATGACTTAGGATTTTCCGGTACGGTTCTGAAGTGGTTTTCTTCCTATTTAAATAACAGAACATTCTCTTTATTCCATGCTGTCGTTCGTTAAAAGAACGACAGCATGGAATTAGAACCACGACACAGCATGAACACACCTAAGATTCTCTTTATGTGTAAACAAGATTAGGTCTGAAGTCACATCTTTGCTTCACGGTGTTCCCCAGGGCTCGGTCCTTGGCCCAATTTTGTTTCTTTTATATATTTGCCCTCTTGGAGACATTACTAAAAGCTTTACTAATGTGTCCTACCATTTATATGCGGATGACATTCAACTGTACTGCTCTTTCAAGGACACAGAGTTTAACAAGTTAGCTGATCTACTTGATTGCATTGAGCGTATCAAGGACTGGCTAGCCACCAGTAACTGTCTTCAGTTGAGCTCAAGCAAGACTGAAACACTGATCATTGCTCCTGAACAGAAAGTGCTTTTAATCAAACAACACCTCGGTTCCCTGAGCTCCTCAGACCAGACCAGTCTCAGAAACCTTGGTGTTCTTTCTGACCAGTCCATGTCTTTGAGCTGCCACTCGAAACATTTAGTAAAGAACTGCTTTTATCATTTGCGAAACATTTCCAAATTGAGAGCTTTTACTTCAAAATCGGACTTGGAGATGATTATCCATGCTTTTATTTCCTTTCGTTTAGATTATTGTAATTCTATCTTTACTTGTTTTAACAAATCAGATGTCAGTCGTCTCCAGTTGGTCCAGAACGCTGCAGCAAGGCTTTTAACAGGAACCAATAGAAGGGCTCACATAACACCGGTTTTATCTTCTTTACATTGGCTACCGGTCAAGTTTAGAATTGATTTTAAAATTTTTGTTTTGACTTTTAGAGCTCTTAATGGACAAGCTCCAATATTTATCAGACCTTTTAATCCCTCACTCTTCTGGCCGCACTCTATGGTCCTCGGGTCAGAACCGACTGCAGGTCCCTAAGACCAGATTTAAAACTAGAGGGGACCTGTCCTTCCAAGCTGTAGCTCCCAGACTTTGGAGCGCCCTGCCCTTGTTTCTTCGTGTGGCCGACTCTGTTGATTCTTTCAAAAAGCAGCTGAAGACATGTTTATTTAGACAGGCTTTTATGTAAGTTGACCTTGTGCTCCTGTCTTGTTTTGCCTTTTCATGTATGTTGTGAAGCACTTTGTGATTTTATCTGTGGAAAGTGCTATATAAATAACTTTTACTTACTTACTTACTTTGGTTTTTATGAGTTTGAGGGGGAAAGGGCCCTAGACAAAAGCCATATGGTGTGCAAGTTGTGTAAAACAAAACTGAAATATTTTGGAAACACAACAAACATGAGAAACCACGTTGGTCGTTTTCACCCGGAGGAGGAGAAAAACCGCCGGTAGCTGCGGCTGCCGCCACCAACCAGAAAACTATCGAGCAGGCGTTGTTAAAATTTCCACCAAAGTTGGAAAAGGCGAACAGAATTACAAAGCCCATAGCAAGTTTTATCGCAAAAGATTTGCATACGTACGCCATTTTTTCCCGGTTTTATGCATTTATTTATACATTTAATTGAAGTTCTTGTCAAGGGTATTTATACTCAAAGTTTTGTTGTCTAATCGTATTTATTTTTGTAAAAAGAACAGTTATTCATGTTCAAATCAACTGGACATCCAGCACTATTTTGTTTGGAAGCTGTTAACGACAGCACTTCTTTTCTTTAAAAGATTGCACTGATACTTATGGTGATAAAATATATTGGAAGTAAATCAATGTTTCATCATTACAAATATTTTTCTTAAGTACCACGTAATCACTTGGCAGCCAGGTGAGGCAGGAGAAAGATGCATCAATAATCGGAGCTCCCTGAATCGTAATCGAATCGTGATATTCCTGAAGATTCCCACCCCTACTGCTGATGAGCTGCGGTCATTAAGCGGTTAGGTGGGTCTACTCCATGTCCTAAATCTTACACACAGTGTGTGTTTTAACAAGTTTAACAATCAGCTTTGAGGAAATATCAAAGTGACAAAACTAGAGTTGGCATTTCAGTTGTTTTTCACTGACCTAATTGTTGCACTCATTCACTGATCAGGTGTGCACAACCTACCGTGAAACTTCTATAATTTCACTGTTTAGTCGTCTGAATGTTTGCAGCGCTTGTTAAAAGATGATCAAACATCAATCAGCGTTGTTCAGACAGGCTGCTGACTTTGTCCTGCTCCACAGACATTAGGACTCAGTTCTGGAGGAGAGCATTGCAGCGAGGTACCTGCATGGGTGTGTGTGTGTGTTTCTGCGTGCCAGAGCAGGAACTGCATGAGTAGTGGTTGTTTTACATAATGCGAGGGAATGTGGGCAGACGACTGCTCGTCGTTTCCTGCTGGATTGTGTGTCCCTCCTAACTGAGGAGAGATGCATGGAATTAAATGATCTTGCTTAATTATTAGGCCCGAGCAGCGAAGGCCTATTGTATCTGCTCTGTTTATTTTTTTTCTTCCGCGTCTTGGAATGGCTTTTTGGGGCTCTTAGCTTAGCATATCCAAAAACTCACCAAATTCTGGCCCAATATAGAAAGTGCGTGAAATTTACGATTTTCAAAGGCGATGTGAAGGTTGCTAAAAAAGTGGCTCGAGAGCGCCCCCAGGAAAATTAAAAATACCCCTCCGCTTTAACCTTTTTTTATAGTAGAGTGATGATATTTGGTACACTTGTAGAACTCAACAATACGCACAGAAAAGTCTCTTGCACCCATGGTCAACATCAAACAGGAAGTCGGCCATTTTGGACAAAAGTAGCGATTTTGACCCCGTTTTGGTCATTTGTAGGGTCTATATTTGGTTGAACAGTTTGGTCGTTTTTTGCACGATTGTCTCAAAAATAGTGTGCGATCGAACAGAAGGGATGGATGATTGAAATGAGAAAATAAAATTGACTTTTTTGTAAATACTGAGGGGTCGGGGCCAGGCCTCAAAATTCAAGCACTCGCCAAAAAAATTCAAATGGCTATGATTTCACAAATGAAAGAACTACAGTTAAAAAAATTCTATGGACATTCGTCTCTGTCGAAAGTTAATTAAGGTAGCGCGACTCGGGTTGCGAATGAACACAGACATCAATTCTAAGAATTGTGTGTACTGAAACTAATTTCCCTCTGGGATTAATAAAGCATCTTTGATTGTGAATTTGAAAATGATGACCGGCTTGATTTACAACAACAAAAAAACATAAATCTTTCCATCCACAGGTTGGGAATAATAAAACTAATTCTGCCTGTGGGGAATTAAAACAAAAGTACTAATAAGTAGGGATGTCCCACTGGGCAAAGATTACTGGTTTCTGGACCAAAATAAGGATCTCCAAAGGTCCAAACTCTAAACTGGGTGGTTAAACCAAACTCAAGGTGATATTTTAAACTAAACCGAAAACCCACAACACTCTAAATGTAATAACAGGGAGATCTACGCCACAAAAAAGATGAACTCTAAACCAAAACGTAACCGCTTATCCAAATGCCAGAAGCTGTTAGCGAAAACGCTAACAGTAGCTTTATCAACGTTAAGTTCAAGTTACCAAGTTTAAATAAACCAAAAATACCCAGCAGCAAACAGACCAGCACGGAGGAGAGACTGCTACCACCAAAACAGCTCTCCTAATGTCTGAAAGAAGCTCCCTTATGAAGGGAGAAACGCTCCCGGTGGTTTTCTACATCTGCGATAGAGACGGAGCAGCGCATCTGACCCCGGAAGTTGTTGTCCGTTGCCAGGAGACGAAGGCGGGCAAAACAGGAAAGGAATCTAGTAGCGGACCGACTTTGTTCCGGGTCTTCGGTATTTGGCGGAGATGTTAGTGAAGGCGGAGAAGAGGGCAAACTAGAGGAAAAACATGCAGATTCCTCCTCTATTTACAAACTCCTGGGGATGCAACAAGTGGGCGTGGTGCGTCGACTACCGGATCTGACGTCGACGAATTTTTAGAATCGAGCCGTCAACGTCATCGAGGCTTTGCTACAGCCCTACCCGCCGAGCATTTTTATGTGGCCCACGAGATAAACATCAAAAATATATTAAAACTGACCCGCTGGCCGTTTTTACTGCAAAGACTACAACTCCCATGATGCTTTGTGGCGTAAACGCGGAGCTGAAGCGCCCCCTCCTTTGTGTTTTTTCCAGAGTCTGCTGCCGGTGTCGGTACAGGATCTGCTCGGGTGCAAGATTGACTCGGGGTCCTTCGACTGCCGATGACGTCAAAGTACGGCAAATCCACTCGGACAAATTACACTGCACATCTTTATACTGTTGGAAAGAATTTAGCAGTTTCGTTATTAAAATAATGTTTCTTACGACGTAAGTTTGTGTTTATAATGGTATTTGTAAAATAAAACACTATATTTTATTCATAATGTTGAACTCCTCTTTGAGCACATCCCTTGAAGGATCATAGGTATTAGCAACACCTGTGAAATTGTATTAGCAGGAAAGAAGTGTGTCCCGTTTATTGAAGTATTTTGTGTTTAGAGTTTTTAACGTCTTGTCCATGCGTAGTTCAGTTACGCTCATAGCTGCTAGCCAAAATTCTGGAGTTAAAAGTTTTCTGGCTTTACTAAAATACCTGTCTGTACTTATTTGATTGATGGTAGTTTTACTTTCTATTAGACTCCAGATGTAATCATTTGGCACGTTTCTAAATCATAATTTGTAAGAATGTAATTGGTGATATTAGCATTAGCATTCCTATGGGTTTTTCCATGTATATTAGCATTGTGCTAACCACGTGCTGCCAAATTGCAGCCTTTGCAATTAGAAAATCTCCTTTTGTCGCATCGCAATTTAATTGCACATGCAGTTAATCGTTCAGCCCTAATATACATGCAGCTCTATGCTAAAAGTGTTTTTTCAAAGAGGTAATGATGGATTTCTTTGTAAAAGTTGTCCATCTTTCCAACAGAAAGATTTGCCCGGACCAACGTAACGTGATTACGTAATTCCGTAAGGTTCCTGTTCAGCCAATCAACTACTTTGACGTCATTGGCAGTCGACGGAACCCGAGCCGATCTTGCACCCGAGCAGATCCTGTACTAACACCGCTGTCTGCAGGTCCGCTGTCTCGGACAAACTAAACACTCCTCTCACTCAGTGCCAAGTTTACTCAGCTACTTGCCGACGTTGAAGCCCAGAAACAGAGATTTTAACCGCTCAGTAATGTGTTCACAACTGAAAGAGAAAGTTTTCCAACTAACTTCCAGACAGAGCTGATATAACTCCAGCGAGCAGCGACACGCTCAAACCAGCACGACTCTGTGGCTGCTGTAGTTGTTATTTTTCCTCCCCGACACACAACATCGTGGTCAAGTTGCTCAGACATGTTCATCAGCACAAACCTATGTGAGCACCTGTTGTCATCTAATGTTGTCATTATTATGATGAAGATGAACAAAACAACAGGAGTCTCCTCCTCAGCTCAGATCAACCCCATGATGCAGGTATCTGGCTGGAACAGGTGAGCATCACAGTAAACCAGTGGAGCAAACTGAGCTTTAAATATGTTGGTTTTATGCTCTTTTTCTGCTCAAAACATGAAAGTTAACAGGTGATATATTGAATTTTCATTCAAGATAAATGATATTTTATTTTGTTGTTGGCCCGTGAGAAAAGATTTAACCTACAGTAAACAGGAAGTGGAAAGGCTGCAGATAGATGAATAGAATAGAAAATCCCTTTATTGTTCCTCAGTGGGGAAAGCTAGACGTCACAGCAGCGATGACACGTATTACAGGAGAAAAAAGGAGAATAAAAATAAGAAAAATGAATAAACAAGAAAACATAAATCCTGAATAGATTTGAAAAATGCTGATTAAACCACAAGTAATGAATACCTCTGATGCCTTTTATTTAAAACTGACTTGCTCGTGTGTAATTTGGTTATTCCACATTCAGTGTTAATGAAATAAGTTTGTTTCCAAATTTAAAGGTTCAAAATTGCATATATGTTTATAAAGAAAATGTGCTAATTTGCCGTCACTTTTTCAAAAAATATGAAGTTCGGCCCTCGACTTCGTCCCAGATTTTCATTTCAGCCCCGTGTGAGTTTGAGTTTGACACCCCTGCTTTAAACAATATTCAGTAACAAACACTTTAAATGGGCTCCACTACAGAGGAGTGCCGGACGATTCTGATATGTATTTAAAAAATGATAAAAATCGGCCCGACATACCGGGACTATCCATAATCCGAAGGGTTTTCTCTCATCCTGAATCAATTTCCAATTTTTACAACAGATCATGCAAATGTGTTTTAGAAACGTTATCGATGCCATCGGTTTTTGGTTAGTTGTTGGTTCTGTTAGGTGAAAACTCTCCAAACAGTTGTCTCTTTACATCTCTATTAGAAATTCTTCATAGCTTGTCCATAGGAATGCTTCTCTAAATTTCTTAAATATCTCTTCAGCATTCCGGCTTGGTGACTTCTCTGAAGGACCTAACTGTAGAAAACATTCGTGGCTGTTCTGGGGTTGGAGAACATTCAGAATCGAGCTGAACTGGAACCGTTTTCTCTGTGAGGACTTAGCCACGCTGACACACATCCTCGGAGGGTTGATGAATATGGAGCAGCCGGCTCGGGGGAAAAGCGGCTCCAGTTCAGGCTGCTGGTGTATCGAACGCAGCAGTCGGTGACTGCGGCCACATGTAGGTCGGGCCTCATCGGTGCCCTAACAGTCGTCAGCCACTGCTGAAAATAACCCAGCTAATTATCTAACACGTATTTTTAGCAGACCAACGCCTCCAAAATCATCTTAACCAGCGTTACTCTTATTGTTCTGGTTACAGCATGGTTTGTAAAACGAAGCACGTGATTTCTCGAGCTTTTCTCCCAAGAAAAGTCCTCCTTTATGTTACGCATCACAGAGTAATCCTTCCTTTTTGCATTCAGGGACCAGCAGCATTCGGAGAATGGCCCCTGCAGAGGTAAGATGCTAGGTTTTGGTGGTAAACAGTTAGCTGTTTGGTTTCTGTCTTTACACCCACAAACACCCGTCTGATCGTGTGTTTGTTGTCCCGTTCCTCAGATGCCTGGATCCTCGAGCACAACCCAGAGTATGAAGAAGACGATTGGGCACCGGGGCGTTGAGACTACAACAGGGGAGACCACGTACAAAAAGGTGAGTGCTGTTTAGATACCTGCAGCACTGAACAACAAGACGACACAGGTGTTTATTCTTCTACAGCCGTTTGAAGCGTTGCTGCCTTTCACAGACACTTTTTCTGCTCGTGCTGCAAACAGGATAGCCGTCTTCTATCAACTGTCCCTCGGCATTCTTCAGATATCCAAAAGATGCCCGTACTTCCCACTTTGTCTTCTTTGAGGGATAATAAATGTCCTGAGCGCTGCCGTCTCCTCCTTTGGCCATTATTTCAGCTTTAGCTTCAAGAAAGTTTTGGTTGTAAACAACAAAGTGCGCATGTGCCGCCGGCAACTTCAGCAGATGATACGGTGGCTGGTAAGGGTCACCGCGCCTACACCGCAGCCACGGTAATCCACCGAGATATATATTGTTTTTAAACAAGACGGTTATTATTATTTTCAACTTTTTTACCGGGGTTTACCGCTACACCGGTTACCGTGACAACCCTACTTGAGTACTGAGTATCATCTGATCTGATCTGATATATTTTTTAAATGATGACATCAAACAGACAAAAAATAAGAGGTTATGGGCAAATATTGGTATTTTGATGACTAAAAGGGAAAAATGTAAACAAATAAACAACATAATATCAAAATAACACATTTTAGGCTAAATTTAGACACAAACTGAGGACAATATTTTCCTGATATACAGGGTTTATGTAGTTGTCTGAAAATGTAACACGTTTAGAAAAATACCGCGATAATACCGAAAACCGTGATAATTTTGGTCACGATAACCGTGAGGTTACATTTTCACACCGTGACGACCCTAGACCCAAGTCAGTTTGGTTAAGCGACATTTGTTTCAGTTCTAATTGGTGTAAATGTGTCTGTCCTAAATCGTCTGCAGAAAGTCCAGAACGCTGCAGCCAGATTTCTTTCCAATGCAAATAAACGCTGCCACATCACTCCCATTCTGGCGGATCTACACTGGATTCCTGTGCAATTTCGAATTCAACACAAAGTTCTAACTTTTACCTACAAAGCCCTGAATGGTCTAGCCCCCTTATACCTGTCAGAGCTGCTCACCCCCTACATCCACCCCCCACCCCCCGGTCACTAAAGTCTGCTGATCATCTACTGCTCAAAGTCCCTAAAATGAAGTATAAAGCTCGTGGGGAGCGTGCGTTGGCCTTTGCTGCTCCCAGACTCTGGAACGCACTCCCTCTGGTGGTACGCCAGGCTTCCTCACTGGCACAGTTTAAATCCAGCCTGAAGGCACATTTCTTTAATTTAGCTTTTGGTCAGTGATCGGTCTTTTATGCTGTGACTCTCTTCTGTTTTACTGACTTCTGTTTTTATTGGCTGTTTGAAACGTTTGTATTGAGTTTAGGTGTTTCTATTTTATGACCGTTTCTATCTGTGTTTTAATGTGTATGTATGTGAGTTTGAATGGCTGTTTAGGTTTAACTCTGTGCAGTGCTTTGGTCAGCTGACATGCTGTTTTTAAATGCGCTATATAAATAAAATTGGATTGGATTTGTTCCTGTCTTAACTTTATTTCTCCTCTGAGCGCCTTAGACCACGTCATCTGCCCTGAAAGGTGCCATCCAGCTGGGCATCGCTCACACGGTGGGCAGCTTGAGCCAAAAGGCAGAGAGAGATGTTCTCATGCAGGACTTCGTGGTGGTTGAAAGCATCTTCTTCCCAAGGTCGGTAGCATAAGCTACAATAATCGAGAAAACTGAATTAGAGCATTTAAGCCTAATGGACATCTCGTTATTTTTCCAGTGAAGGCAGCAACCTGACCCCTGCTCATCACTACAGTGACTTTCGCTTTAAGACCTACGCTCCCATTGCTTTCCGTTACTTCAGAGAAATGTTTGGCATCCGTCCAGACGACTACCTGGTCAGAGCTCCTGCCAGCTCTTTGTGTTTGTGTTTATTTATTCATTCTGAGCGTTCGTCACACAGAGGGTGGAACAAGAACTCTGGCTTTTCTTGTTTTCGTTTCCCGGCAGGATTTTTTTTGGCCTCCGTGGTCTTAAGTACAAAGTGTCCATTTATTTTTCTCTTGCATTTTAAAGTGTGCATTAGAGAAGCTTCCACCTAACGAGGAGGGTGATCTCAGATATGTTTTAAAGCAACCTTTAGGGTGCATAAACAGAAAACCCACGACTGCTCTCTCTGTTGTAGTACTCTTTGTGTAACGAGCCTCTGATCGAGCTGTCCAACCCCGGAGCCAGCGGGTCCATCTTTTATGTCTCCAGCGACGACGAGTTTATCATCAAGACCGTCCAGCACAAAGAGGCCGAGTTTCTCCAGAAACTCCTGCCGGGCTACTTCATGGTGAGCCAGTTTAGGACAGCGGTGAGAGAAGCTGGTGGTGGGGAGTTCTCCAGTGGTGCGAAAGAAAACACGTCTGTCGTTCTAGGTTTTATTACCGTGTGACTTTTCACGTTAACTTTGAAAAGTCTGTAACACTTTACAATAAAAGGTACGCAAAATTGTGCTTCGTAACTAGTTAACGACTTACGGGGTCATGAGTAACGAAGCAGGGAAGAATAGGTAGTTTTAGAGTGTTTTTACATGTTGATTTCAAAGTTTATAAATGTAAAAGTGAATTTTTGTGTACTTTTCTGATTATTTAAAAAAGTACCCTAAACATTTGAGCCGGGTACCACTGTAACCTGCAGGATTTTGGTCACCCATCTCTGGAATATTACCACACACACGATGAAAGACAATGAGCTCAATGTCTTTATGGTAACTGGCCGTGTAACAACACATAAGTAATGGTTAAGTACCTAGTAGGTACAGATTAGTTCCTGAGTAGGTACTTGGGAGGGGGCTTCACTTTCCATCATCTCGAGATGGACGGATGCTGACGATGGACGACAAAGTCGTCGTCGTCGTCTTCCTCCGCTTATCCGGGTCCGGGTCGCGGGGGCAGCATCCCAACTAGGGAGCTCCAGACCGTCCTCTCCCCGGCCACCTCCACCAGCTCCTCCGGCAGGACCCCAAGGCGTTCCCGGACCAGATTGGAGATGGAACCTCTCCCAACGTGTCCTGGGTCGACCCGGGGGCCTCCTGCCGGCAGGACATGCCCGAAACACCTCCCCAGGGAGGCATCCTGACCAGATGCCCAAACCACCTCAACTGGCTCCTTTCGATCCGGAGGAGCAGCGGTTCTACTCCGAGTCCCTCCCGAATGTCCGAGCTCCTCACCCTATCTCTAAGGCTGAGCCCGGCCACCCTACGGAGGAAACTCATTTCGGCCGCTTGTATCCGCGATCTCGTTCTTTCGGTCATTACCCAAAGCTCATGACCATAGGTGAGGATTGGGACGTAGATCGACCGGTAAATCGAGAGCCTGGCTTTCTGGCTCAGCTCCCTCTTCCCCACGACAGATCGGCTCAGCGTCCGCATCACTGCAGACGCCGAACCAATCCGCCTGTCGATCTCCCGATCCCTCCTACCCTCACTCGTGAACAAGACCCCGAGATACTTAAACTCCTCCACTTGAGGTAGGACCTCTCCCCCGACCCGGAGTTGGCAAGCCACCCTTTTCCGGTCGAGAACCATGGTCTCAGATTTGGAGGTGCTGATCCTCATCCCAGCCGCTTCACACTCGGCCGCGAACCTACCCAGCAAGAGCTGAAGGTCAGAGCTGGATGGAGCTAGGAGGACCACATCATCCGTGGACGACAAAGTGACAGACGAGTGAAATCAAGATGAAACAGGGATGTTAAATCACTGTGATTTTGCTAATCATCTGCATCCTTCATGAAGTTTACAAAAGAGAGTCCACAGGCACCTCATTCATCTGGGATTTGTTCCTTATGGCTTTCATAGATAACTACCTATTAGACCCTGAATAAGACTGCTGGGTGGTCACCAGTAACTACTGGTTAACTACCTATGCTTCCCCCTAAGTCCTTCTCTAGTAACGAAGCACCATGTTGCGTACCTTATTGTAAAGTGTTACCCATGAAATGTGATTTCTAATGTTAGTCACAAACAAACATTCTAACTGTTTGTTTGTTTGTGTCCCTTTCAGAATATAAACCAAAACAAACGCACCCTGCTACCCAAGTTCTACGGCCTGTATTGTGTTCAGGCGGGGGGGAAGAACATCCGTATCGTGGTTATGAATAATCTTCTCCCTCGGATCGTCCCCATGCACCTGAAATACGACTTGAAGGGCTCCACCTATAAGAGACGAGCTTCTCTGAAGGAAAGAGAAAAGGCTGTTCCTACTTACAAAGACCTGGACTTCATCCAGGACTTGCCCGAGGGCCTTCTGCTGGAGGCGGACAACTTCAACGCCCTGTGCAAGACCATTCAGAGGGACTGCTTGGTGAGATGCTTGTCTGTGTTTTTATAGACGGATGGACAGAGTTGGACATCGTTTGATTTTGAACGATTCCAATTCCTCGTTTCGATTCCGGTTCCTATCGATTCCCGATCCCGATTCTTTGAAGACATGACATGTTTTACATGAGCCAGCTAACCACAGGTCCTCCTTGATGAAATCATCTTAACTTCAACATGAATTTTAACTCTATGAACAACAACATCACCTTCATTTAGACAAAAACGTGTTTTGGAGAAAAAAGAAAAAGACTTGCAGCACAGCCCGTGTGTTTGTTTCTGACCACAAGCAAAGTGTGGAAGCAGCCTCTGGGATGAGAGGCTAAATGTCTCCAACACATCCAGACACGTCCAGCTGTGTCCAGCTGAAACTCTCAGGATGATCACGTCCAGGATGACGGAGAACTACACCTCCATGCTGCAGCAGCGTTCAGTCACAACAGAAATGTAGCTGCTGTCAGTAACAATCTAACAGATTTTAAACATTAAAACTCAACAGAAATAGTTCAGAAAGGAAATTAAAATGTTATTTATTATTATTATTATTATTATTTATTGTGGCAGAAGCTGGTGTGGTCCACCACAGAGAAGCTGCTCTAGCATGATGACTTTAATTATTCTACAGGTTATTGTTCAGCCTTCTGACGCTCACACACACACACACACACACACGAGTGTTGGTGAGCGGCAGCGTCTGACTGCTGACGCTCCGTGTGTGTTTTTATTTCTGCAGTGAGACAAACTCACCTCACACGTCCAGAGTTTGTTCTTTAAAGCTTCTATTAAACCCACCGTGTTGACGTATTTAACACGTTTCCTCTACGCTGCAGGAGTTAACGTTTACGTTACGGAGTAAAAGTTCGGCAGACGCGTTTGTTTATATCTGGGCGGGGGAGGGGGGACTCGTGCTGCACACAGACAGCTGGTGTGATCAGCTCTGAAAAGCGTTGATCACAATTTGCAGATCACATTTGTTTGTTTTTTCACGGAGATCGGCCGCGGATTCCTCTTCCGTCGGCATTCTAGGAATCGAAATAAAAAACTTTGAACGATTCTGGGAAAAATGAACAGTTGGAACCGGTTCCAATCGATGCCCAACCCTACTGATGGCTCTTGTGTGTTAAAGCTCACGTGGGTTCCCCAGCAGCACATTTACATCCGCCTGCACTCTCTGCTGTTATTTAGCTTCTCCAGCTCACTGAAAGTAAAAATATGGATGTTTTTATTTAGCTCTTACAGAGTTTCAAGATCATGGACTACAGTCTGCTAATGGGCATCCACAACATAGACCAGGCGAGTCGGGAGCGTGAGCGCGGTGGGGCCGCTGCAGGAGACCGAGTGGTGTTGGAGGGTCCAGTGACTCCAGACCAGCGTCGGCCTCAAGCCCAGAAGAGCCTGTACTGCACAGCCATGGAGTCCATCCAGGGGGAGGCTCGGGGGAAGGGAGCTTTAGACTCAGAGGACCAGTGAGTCTGACCTCCAGCAGATATCCGTTGGTAGTCCGATCTGCAGCGATGACATCACAGATAAATGATGTAACACGATTCTCTGCCTTTGAATTTCCAGTGTGGGGGGGATCCCAGCTCGCAATGCAAAAGGGGAGCGGTTGCTCATTTATATCGGCATCATAGATATTCTCCAGTCCTACAGGTGCGTTAGCGTTCAAACGACTCTTGCTGCACACGAGCTAGGAGTCAGCGTGGCTACAGCTTCTGTTTTACTCTTCAGGTTTATTAAGAAGCTGGAACACTCTTGGAAAGCCTTGGTCCATGACGGGGTAAGCTCGTGTCTTCTAAAGTCACATGGTGGTTAGATGTGTGCAGCCTGGCTGGTCTTTGAGCCTCTGTGCCTCTTCAGGACACCGTCTCGGTCCACAGACCTGGCTTCTACGCAGAACGCTTCCAGCAGTTCATGTGCAACACGGTGTTCAAGAAAATCCCACGTGAGTCTGCAGACACGCACACCTTCTGTAAAAACGTCGTTTTTTTTATATCTTGGATTTCCAGTAACCACTTGATGTGAATTGTGTTTTAATTCATTCCTAGTCAAGCCATCCCCTTCCAAGAAGAGTCGCAGCGGAGGTCAAGGGGGGCTCAGAAGGGCCGCTACTCTGGGGGCTCCCACCCCGCTCTCCCACACAACAGGACAGTCAGCCGGGGACTCCAGACTCGTCTATCTCAGTCATTTTAGAAGCACCGAGTCAGAGGCCGACAGCGGTGAGGATCCATCTGTTTCTGGTTATTGATCGTGGTAAAGTCCGGATTCAGCCGGTTCCTGATGCGGTTTGCTGTATTTTCCTCAGGAATCCAGTCAGGCAAACCAGATTTGGTTCCTAGGACCCCCCCGCTGGTAGATAACCCCAACGATGAGGGCAACCTGTCCACCTCATCACTAGGCAGCACAGGAGTTTCCTCCGCCTCGCCTCCGCTACGGTAAATTCACTACTCTAGTCACGTTTTTATCCATCTTCTTCCGGCCTCACCCAGAGTTCCCTCTGCAGGTCTGTTGGAGTGGAAGTGCACAAACCGGCAAACACGGAGCACGAGCAGGGAATCTCTCGCAGGTACCGCACATGTTCCAGAGCTGTAGGAAGGAAACGCTGATCATGGTCTCATGGAAAGCTGGATTTTTATTCAGATTTCAGATTCAGACTTCAGATTTATTGGCCAAGTAAAATTCCATTTACAAGGAATTTAGCTTCGGTATTCCAGTTGGAAAAAGCTTTTATTGTGGCTTATTACTCATGTTTGAATTCACCGGAGAGGAAAAGTCCTTCTGTTTGAGTTTTTAGCTGGGAAATCGTCTCACACTGGCCAGTTTTCCAAATCAGCTTTAAACACATCAAATTTAGAATAAGTTTTGTATCAAAGATGGAGCACAACTAAAGGTCCAACCCCCTTTCTTCAGACTCCTCCCCTAAAACACACCTCCAGAATACAGGAGAGTGCTGGATGCTGCACCTTTTCTCCTAACGTAACACGCCTACGTAACGCCGTCATGCCACAGAGCCTCCGGGCGTCTGATGGACTCCTCAGAGCCCGGTGATGCTCAGGACTTCTCTGGACTCCGTTCCCACTGAAAGCTAAAGCTAGAGAAGCTACTGAGGCCTATAGCTCCAGTGGGTGGGCGGGCTTGTTACACTGGAAATCTCCTTCACTGCATCCACTGAGGCTACATATACAGACAGAAATTTAGCATGCTAGCTAATATAGCTAGCCTGGCTCTGGCCTTGCTTCCTGTTGAGCTGCTCCAAGCTGAGAACATGGAATCTGTGCACATAGTGGGGTATGAGCAAGAGAGAAAGCTCTTTTTATAAGACACACCACGCCGGCATGGTGTTGCGCGAATTTTGTGGCATTCGTTCCGCCTCGTTTGGTAGTAATATTGCGGTAATGGTCTGTCGTATGCGCCCTGGCGCAGCAGAGGCAGATGTCATGATGATGTGGGGAGTTATTGCTGAGCTCCGGCTGACAAATTTATTGAAAATGAAAG